CCTGGCTCCTACTGCAAGTACTGGGCTACACCAAGCACCTGCCATTCATCCAATGCGCCATGCACTTGCGAGGCTGCTGCAGTTACCACTACTCCAAGCGAAGCCACCGATGAAGTCACTGAGACTACCACAATCCAGGACGGCACAACAGCCGCTCCCGAAGAAACCAATACGGCCACTTCTGTTGCTGTTGACATTACCGGAATGGTAACTACAGCCGATGCGGCTGATGTTACTACCGACGCTCCTGTCGAGCCTAACACTGTTGCACAAATGACCAGCACAGCAGCTCCCTCGGAAGTAACCACATCTCCGGATGTTACTGGAGAGGCCTCATCCACCACATTTGCTGCTACTACAACAGACGACGTCGCCACTGATCTCGCGACTACAGCTGACTTCCCAGTCACTACTATCAGTGCCACCACCAACGTTGATGTCACCACCGAAGCCTCAGCGACAACGACTGAGGTGGCCGATTCTCAGGCTACTTCCAGCCCGAGTGTGTGAAGACATTTTGGAATGAAGCTTTGAAGTGTTTAATGAACCGCATTTTGACTAACCCGCGGTATCGCATGCGATCTTGATAACGAGTGAATGAGTATTGATCGAAAGAGTTGCGTCAATAGAGTCGTTCGGCTTTCACATCGCATCGCATCGCGAACTCGAGGTTACCACGATAGGCACAAGGGCCGGACTCAGGGAACTCGTGGAGGATATCCTGGTACTCATCATCTTCGCGGAGCTGGAGCCAATCATCTTGGTATCGATGACTACACTGAATAGTGAACTGTCTAAGGCCTTTCTTAGTGGTGTTAAGGGTTATCGTGAGAGAATCGGGACCATCACGCTTGTAGTTGAAGTTTTCCGGCATCAGCCGAGAATGCTACGGACCGTAGCCTACGGTGGGAAGGTTAGGATGCGAGAGCTCATGATTGTTGAGGAACAAGCACAACGAGCTCATAACTCATTCGTCATGGGAGAAACCAAGCGAGCTCATTTGGGAGAGGCTACAATCTAGCAGCCAGAAATACGATTCACTCAAAGAATTTCTCTAGGATCCTTGGTGGAGACTCCCCACGGAGTGATATCATTCTCTGCTTCGCTCAATGTCGAAGTCGATCGTGTCTCGAGGGCTCCCAATTAACGGAGGCAAATCCTTTAAAAGGTCACAAGGAGGTCTGATATCATCATATATCTATATATCGCGAGAATCACTGAAGTCCAATTCACTCGAATTAGTCACTGAAGTCCGATGCATTCGAATCAGTCTCCGATTATACAAGACTATCTTTGTAACCGTTCACACAGCCAAGACGATAAAACCTCAATATTCCAATGAGAGAAATGACGCGATGAAGTAGAGAGTACATTTTCAATTGCAATATGAAACTGAATCCCCCTCGATGATGTTAATGCTACACCCTCTGAAGGCTTGACTCAGCATCAGCGAACTCGACTTCCTCAGAGGGGCAGCTATGCCATTCCAATGTTTACCTCGGTTCAGTCGATTTTCAAGAAGCATGAGTTCGAGACCAATGTCCTGACCGAAGTAGCTCCGGTAATTCAACGAGGTGTATTATATTACTGCCCAAAACTCTGGCTTGTATTAAACACCGGTACTCGAATGGCATACCTGCCCCAAGCTAATGATCCCCACAATTCGTCGAATCTGAGGTTACTTGGTCGTACAGACGAAATTGATCTTCCTATCACGTGCTCCTGCGGAACTGACTATAGGGTATGTCTTGGGATGGCCCGCCCGATGATATTTGTCAAAGGCGAAATAGTATTTTAAAATGGTGTAGACACATTAATGGTACGGAGGCCTCCCTTGGGGATGGCATAGCAGCAATAATGAAAGAAGCCTTGTTGAGCAGCACTACGAGTACTGTTATGATTGTGACGCGAATTCACTTATGTTTATTTTCGTTGGGTTGGACAGTTGTAATGAGGAAGAGACGAAAGGTATCAGACTATTGATGAATGAGACGACGTCGTTATCTACTATTTGCTATCGATTCAACACTATCGTGTTAATATCAATGGAGAGAGTAAGCGTCATCCAATGGGCACGAAGGGAGTTGTTAGCGGATATTACTATCATCTCGGACCTCAAGAGCCTGTTGTAGACGACCTATACTTATATTTGACGCCCTGTATATTTGTGTCCCTATGTATAGTCTTCGACCCACTGCGAAGCTATGATTGTTTGATATCATCAACCGGCCCCTCTCTCAAAGCAAATCCACCGCCAGCCTCCTCAACTTTAAAAGCGATTCACATCCACGATACAAGAATCGCTCTGTAATTGTATTATTCACCCCACGACGAGGTTTTCACTGAAAAGCTGGTCGGCTTCCATGGACAATGAGTGTATACCGCACTGAGCAAAGTATCTTGTGAAACGAGTGGACGATACGTATGCTCGCCACAACTAATGAGACGCAGTCATCAAGGTTATGGATCGTGGATGCTATGACAGCTCGTGAGTCGCCGATTGTGCGAGTCACACTCGAAATGTGCCTTCTTAGTCATCCAGTTAGTCTCGCTCGTTTGCATTTATCTATGATGGTTTCACGGACTTTCTTCGCTGTTTTCGTCGCTCTCTGTGCTTTCCAGGACATCAATTCCGTGACGGGCAACGTCAATGACTGCGACACAGAGTGTGCCACAACTTACCCTGGGTCATATTGTAAGTATTGGAAGACGCCGAGCACCTGCTTCGGCTCGGATGCCTCATGCTTCTGCGGCACGAGTGTACCGACTGAGGCTCTCCGAGGTTCCACATCCTCTGCTGCAGTCACGGATGAGGTCACTGAGGCCGCTACAAGCGAAGAAGGTACGACAGCAGCTCCCGAAGCGACGAGTACGACTGGTTCTGAAGCTACTGTCGATGCCACAGTGGCGGCCAGTACAGCTGCTGTGACCGATGAGGTGGCTGTCACTACTGCACCTCCTGTGACTGGCGAAGTGACCATCAGCACGGCAGCTGGGGAAGCTCCCGGTAGAGACAAGGATGACTCTGATGCTACCACCAAGGTCGCTACGGAGGCTGCAACTGTCACGACTACTATCGGTGCTCCTGTTGAGCCTACTACTATCACGTCCCCTTTCCTGGTCAGCACAGCTGCTGTGACTGATGAGACTGTTGATACTACTGCAGCCCCTGTGACTGGCGGGGTCACCATCACCACGGCAGCTGGGGAAGTTCCGGGAAGAGACAAGGATGATGCTGATGCTACCACCCCGATCGCTACTGAGACTGCGACAGTCGCTACTACGATCAGTGCTTCTGTTGAGCCTACTACTATTATGACGTCCCCTCAACCGGTCAGTACGCCCGCTGTGACCGATGAGGTCGCTGTCACTACTGCGGCTCCTGTGACTGGCGAGGTGACCATCAGCACGGCAGCTGGGGAGGCTCCCGGTAGAGACAAGGATGACTCTGATGCTACCACCCAGGTCGCTTCGGAGGTTGCGACTGTCACGACTACGATCGGTGCTCCTGTTGAGCCTACTACTACTATAACGTCCCCTTTCCCGGTCAGCACAGCTGCTGTGACCGATGAGGTGGCTGTCACTACTGCACCTCCTGTGACTGGCGAGGTCACCATCACCACGGCAGCTGGGGAGGCTCCCGGTAGAGACAAGGATGACTCTGATGCTACCACCCAGGTCGCTACGGAGGTTGCGACTGTCACGACTACGATCGGTGCTCCTGTTGAGCCTACTACTACTATAACGTCCTCTTTCCCGGTCAGTACAGCTGCTGTGACCGATGAGGTGGCTGTCACTACTGCACCTCCTGTGACTGGCGAAGTGACCATCAGCACGGCAGCTGGGGAAGCTCCCGGTAGAGACAAGGATGACTCTGATGCTACTACCAAGGTCGCTACGGAGGCTGCGACTGCCACTACGATCGATGCTCCTGTTGAGCCCACTACTACTATCACGACCCCTCAACCGGCCAGCACAGCTGCTGTGACCGATGAGGTTGTTGCTACTACTGCAGCCCCTGTGACTGACGAGGTCACCATCACGACGGCAGCCGGGGAAGCTCCCAGTAGAGACAAGGATGATTCTGATGCCACCAACCCGGTCGCTACTGAGACTGCGGCTGTCACTACTACGATCGATGCTCCTGTTGAGCCTACTACTCCCACGTCCCCTCTACCGGTCAGCACAGCTGCTGTGACCGATGAGGTTGCTGTCACTACTGCAGCTCCTGTGACTGGCGAGGTGACTATCACCACGGCAGCTGGGGAAGCTCCGGGAAGAGACAAGGATGATTCTGATGCTACCACCCCGGTCGCTACTGAGACTGCGACTGCCACTACGATCGATGCTCCTGTTGAGCCTACTACTATCACGACCCCTCAACCGGCCAGCACAGCTGCTGTGACCGATGAGGTTGTTGCTACTACTGCAGCCCCTGTGACCGACGGGGTCACCATCACGACGGCAGCCGGGGAAGCTCCCAGTAGAGACAAGGATGATTCTGATGCCACCAACCCGGTCGCTACTGAGACTGCGGCTGTCACTACTACGATCGACGCTCCTGTTGAGCCTACTACTCCCACGTCGTCCCCTCTACCGGTCAGCACAGCTGCTGTGACCGATGAGGTTGTTGCTACTACTGTGGAGACGACCGATTCCGAGGCTACTCTCAGTCCGATTGTGTAGCCGATTTAGGTTAATGAAGCTTTGTAATGCCCGGTGAGCGCATTTAATACAATCCGGGCCACTGCATGATGTCTTGATAATGAGTGTATAAGTGTTCATCTGTCCAAGTTGTGTTGGAAACGTTGCGTCGTAACATCACGAAAGCATCGACGCTATACCCCAATACGAAACCTATTGACAGTGCATCAGAGATATCTGAGTGGTTCCGAGATTGATGAGCGAGGGCGGGCAAGCCGCACCACAATGATCCTCTTACCAACTAGCATGAGCCCATGTTGGTTCTCCAGTGTCTGAATTCCGATTGCTGATATGCTGACAATTCTGTTGATAGTGAGTTCAAATGCAGAGGTTAGATAACCTAGAATCTCTGATGTATCCTTGACAGCTCAATGTGTTCTTATCAAGCTTCACATGTGTGACATCGACCAAAATCAGGGTAGGTGCAATCGGAGGGCAAGCTTGTTACTCGCGTAGCTGGATTATAGGGATAAATCCAACTGTGGTGCTGTGTAGATGGCCAGCCGCCCAGCCAATAAGGTTTATTCAGCTGAGCAATTATTCTGAGATTACGCCTTGACAGAAAATCGATTGGACAATGAGGAAGTTCCAGTCTGACCCGATGAGGAGTCATGAACTGTGCGCTACAGTCACGCAGAGTTAGAAGACGTTCACGAAGCCTGATCGCTGCAGGTTACACTGCCCGTTGTAATCTGGAATATATTACCCCAAGCGCTGATAGTGAGCGGCGACGAGCGATTGCCCTGCATGATCATCACATTTGCCTTGGCAATCAGAACGAGCCGCAAACCCGAACCAAGGGTTGAATAATCGGTCAGAATGGTGCTTACGATAAGTCGGCCAAATTCTCCGAAGAAGAGTGGCTGAGAACGCTGTATATGATGCAGTATCTGTGAAAACGGTTGTGAAACGATTGGGCAAGATAGACATCGCGCGCGCTACTGTTCAGCTACAGCGAACGATCAACATTGAACTCACTAGCGCTTCAACGGTTTGCCTAAATAGCACCAGCCTATGACGTTGGCATAGGCCCTCGCAGGTCCAGTCTGGCTCCGCATTTCCGGCAGATTTTCTCACATTCGTGCACGATGACTATCCGTTCCTTCCCCTTCATCGTCGTCTGTCTCAATGTTCTCCAGGACATCACATACGTGATGGGCAACACCACCGCGTGCGATGCCGAGTGTGCCGCCACCTATCCCGGGTCGTATTGTAAATACTGGCAGACACCTA